GATGGTGCAAAATTCTAAACGCTTGTTTGTATTTTCTCCCCATGCCTGCAGTGAAGATGCAGATTTGTTCAACCCATAAGTATAAATTTCAAAAAGAATTCAGCAAGCTCAGAGCCATGAAAAAGATCCAAGTTCTTCTGCATTTATTTCACTTTGTGACCAGGCCACCCCACATCACTGCACTAGGCGTGTTTTCCCGTGCTTGCGAACAAACCATGGGAAAAATCAGCAAAGTTAAACAACAGGATGCTGCAGATACTTCCTGAAAGCCACATGAGCTATAGAATTTACCGATAAAGTCAAAGCCAAATCCACGGCAATCCTTGCATTTACCGGGCTTTGCAGAAGGCTTCAAAGCAATGAGTCAGATGATAAATGCACTGCAACACTAGACACAGTGCTGTAGACAGAGACAGGTCTTTTGCTTTAATTTTTAATTTCCATTTTCTGTGGGTTTAGACAAACCACTGACATTACTTTAGCATAATACTTTGTAATGAATCAATACTTTAATTTAATAATGGTATTCTGTTGTCAACATATAATATATCACATAATGTCCTTGTATAGTTGCTAAAAAAATATGCCCAATAAAATGCAAGGCTTTGCTTTTGCCAGTGATAACAGCTTAAATCAACATAATGAGAATCTCTACAGCCCCCCAAAGATTTTTTTCAGGGATTAAAAGGCACCATGGAGTCATTTCAGCCATATTCCTTCCTCTTATCATACCAGCGCTGTGAAAGTTCTCCCAGGTCATGCTATTCCAACAAATACTTCAACAAATGGGAAATACATCTGAACTGAACCCGTGTACACATCTGTGAGCGCAGCTTTTAGATAAACATTGAAATTCCTTATGAACTCGATGATAAGTGTGCTAGTTCCCAACTTTAATGGGGATTATAAATGTAAAAGTGAAATTAAGCTCAATGTCATCCCACCTAATTGAACAGAGGAAAGAAGTTATAACCATAATAAATGAAAAATAAAATAAAATCACAAATACTTACACTCCAGGGAATATTCTCTATTTGGTATTTTGTATCTCGGCATTAGCTTTCCTGCTGACAGGTATAAAAGGGGGGAAAAACAAATCTAATCACGCCTGTGGTACATTGACTCGTGATATGGGAACTGAAAGCAAGTAGCAATGAGGACAAGAAGGAAATGCTTTCAGAGTTCCCAGTTCGATATATTTTTCTTTGTTCCACGGCCTTTGATGCTTCATAGACTGATAAATAAGTGCCATACTAATCTCAGTCAGTGCTAAAGGCACGCGTTCTAGCATCACGTGTACACTCCTTGATTCCAATGACAGCTCATGATCAGAACGCAAAGCGCTCACAGATACTTGTCATTCGTTGGCAGGATGCTTCAGAGCTCTGGAAAGAGTATGTCTGGTTTTACTACAGCTTGGCACCTCCCACTACACCCTCCAGTTGGTGAAAACCCCGCAGTTCCATCTAAGTGTCATCTTTAATGTGAAAAAGATATTTGAGTCAGTGCAAAATAAAACAAACAGCTTTCACCAAAATGTCAGTGCTGGTAGCAGTTCAGCTGCCAGATGCTTGTTACTTGAACCCATGCCGTGCATAGCAAACAGACAGAGATATGACTAGGACAAACGACTGGACTAGAAAATCTTTAGCAGGAAATCAAAGTGTACTCAGGCTGCAGTCTGGACACAAAAGAAGGTCGCAAATGGACTTCACAAGATCTATTGATTAAGATTTCTGTAACATCTCTTTCCCTGGTTGCAGCGCATTAGTTGAGCCCCACCTGCCTGACCTCAGCTCTGTGCATTAGCTTTCTGTCATAGGAACACCACGGAAACCACGGGGCTATTTCATAGCTGAACACACCTATAAGTACAATATCTCAATTTAAAGATAATAACGTTACTGAAAAACCCAGAATACCATGAAAAAAAATGCACAGTAGAAAAAATCAGGGCACGACTCCATAGAAATGAAACCAATGGTTTGATAACAATAAAACCTCACCGGTGCGTTCCAGTCAGTTGGCTGATTCTGCTCATCTATGGGTTAGGCTATCCTAAATCAGTGATTGATTTTCACGTTGAATGCTGGGAAATGAGGCTAGAAAGCCACAATCTGTACACGCACATGAGAAGCACACACAGGCACAGAGTACGGAGAGAAAGCCGATGAGTCAATGGCTTTTGCTTAGTCAGAACCTGAAGGATCTTCAACAAGAACTTGCAAAGCAGCTCACAGATAGCTTGACTTTGAGTGAAACACAACCAAGAATTATTGTCATTATGCACACCCACAAAAAAGTGAGAGATTTCACAACATCTCCTCAGCTGAATACACACACAGAGAAAAGGCTTTACCAGCATCGACTTCAGGTGGGCAATCATCCGGCTTTCTGAAGAAATAGCTCCCAATTTGTTCTCCATTTCCTCAAGTCACATTTTGAGCCCATTTTAACACGTCGAAGCAATTAAATGAACTGCCACATGAATAACGACAGCTGCTTCTTTTCTTAGAAGCCACGGAAGGCTAAATAACCCATAACCCCTGCCTCCATATGTGCCTTGCCAAGCCGGCGGATCACACAGGGCTGTGCACTGCTTTGAAAGCTGGGGCATCAGATTTGTCATGTCAGATTTGTATTCACGCGACGCAACAGATCCATGACTTCCATTTCAACAGCCTCCGGAGCAACGGCCACAGAAGGACCATGCAGCTAAACTTACAAAACGAGGATGCAACTTGTTTAAAAGAATTCCCTTCCTTGCTAAGAGCTGGTAGTCAGGGCAATCCAAGCTCAGTGGCAGACGCAGGTATTTGCTGTAGGGTCACACCATGGCAGCACTTCCTGGCAGGAAGATGACATTACTTCTCCCTCTCCCCTCCGATAGATACTGCAGCCTCAGAGAATTTCACATGTATCCTCAGACAGGCTTATATGTATCAGGGAAATACAGCTGTAGGCTTTAAATAAATAAATTATGCCACATGCCCTACAAATTCAAATCCTTTTTTATGTAATCTATTTAATCTTCCATTAATGATAATCTCTGCTATCAATGTGCCCAAACAGGGTCAATTTCTGCTGGATTTGCACTTCTTGCATTTCATCCTATAACCCAGCTGTACTTAATGAAGGGAAACACCCTGCTGTAAAAGGTATTAGCAGGCTCCCGGAAACAAGGAACATTTACAGGACTGTAAAACTGCCAGGAACATTTCAAGGCTTTTTTCTTCCTTTGTGCACCCTGAACGCAAAAGAGTCCTGCCAGTGACAATAATTTATTAATAAGGATTTTACTGCCTTCTATACCTTTTGTAAGGAGGCAGCAGAGACGGGAGAAAATTGCAGCGGGCTTCTCTTCCATACCCAAAGAGATACAAAAAGGAGAAGGGCAAAGATCTCAAGGCAGCTTTTAAATCCCGACAGGTCCCACCCAGGCTGGAAGCCCAGCAGCATTTCAGGCACACACGTCACTGCAGTTTGAAATGCCAGTAAGGTACTGCTGCACACAGGAGTTGAGATCAGAGACGCAGGTTGCAAATCACACTCCCTTCACACGTTTTGTTTCCTTGCTTGCTTCTTTTTTTTTTTTTCCAAGCATTCTATAAAGCTCCATATACCTCAGTGAGACAGCTAAAGCTCAGATCCACAAGAGATTTTCCCACTGCTACCTCTGGAGCTCCTCTGATTGCAGCTAGAGAGCAACCAGGCTCAGCCACACCTGTGAGGGATGGCTTTTTCTCAATTGCAGTAGCAGATGCTGGGGAAGCAAGTTACTGCCTGGTTTGCTGCTCCGATTTAGTGGCAGTTTTATTCGTAATCATTCCATCCACCACCTGCACGCCCACCCACACGTACACATCCAGTTTGCCACTCTTCTCCCTGTTCTGCCAATTCACAAAATCAGTTTGCTGCACGTACGCTCTCTGTCCCAGGGTTCGTCAGCAAAACAGATATAATGGACAACATTAAGTTTAAATGACCAACTACCCAAATCCTCTACTAGAATAAGCATACATACATTAGTATGCAGAAGGGGAGCTGCTGGCTGTACAAGCAGTCCAGGTGGTGCATGCGATCAAACTGACGCTGCTAGAAAAAGCAACTAAGAGTTAATGGAGAACACAGGCTCCTCATATCCTACACTGCATCTGAGAAAGCACAGAAGACTCTAATACAGTATAATTGAGCATTTCGCTAAATAGCACCACACAGAAGTTCCTCTGGCACAGACTGCATTTGTCCTAAATAACCTTTACGAGAAGCTGAAAGTTGATGCACCCAACCCAAAGGAAATTTCGGACTGAACCCAAATCCTTCTGTTTGTGCCTCGCAGGGGAAGAAGAGCCACGCACAAAGAGCAACTGGGGAACGAGCCCCCTCCTCCGCTTCAAAAAAAATAGCCAGTCACGGGCTGAGGCTGCAGACGGCACAGTACTGGCTGGAGCCTGGGAGCCCTGGGGTGCCGTGAGCATTCGGGAGCGCCTCGCTGCCTCTCTCCGCCAGGGTTCCTCCCAGCAGCCCAACTCCACGCCGGGGGCAGCACCTCTCCGGGGCCGAGGGCTCCTTCGGTGTGAGCCGGCTGCTGGGCGGCCAGAGAAACTCCGCACCGGCAGAGAGACGCAGCCAGCCCCGAGCTCCCATTACTCACTGTCAGCAGTGTCGCTGCCCCTCCTGGCGGGCCATCACCTGTCCCCTCGCTTCCCACACCTCCTAAATGCCGCTCTCACACCAGACTAGAAGGGGAAGCTTTTCTATAAACCGCAGCGAATTCTAACCGCATCCCACGGCTGCTCCTGCCTCGACGCCCGCCACACGAGCAGGGAACCGGCCGGGAGGCAGCCAGGGGAGGGAGAACTTGGAGGCTCCCCGGCCTCCCGCAGGGCATCGCGCGTCCCCCGGGCTGCGACAGCCCCGGGACGGACGGCGCCCGATGCCGGTAACCCGAGCGGCGGGCGTGGCGTGCCCGAGGGCGCGGACCGGCGCGTTTCACTTACGGATTTTGGGGGTCGTGGTGGTCTCCGGCGTAGTCGTGGTAGATTCCTGGAAGGGAGACAAGGTCCAGGAGGGCGCCGAGTCGTGAACGTAGATCTTGTAGGAGGAGGTAGCGTGTGCCGCAGTGGGCCAGGCGGGCAGCGGCGGGGTGCTGGGGGCGGCTGGCGGCGGGCGACCGGCGCGGCCGGCGGTGCCGGGGGGGCCGCTGGCGGGCGGCGCCGTGTGGGGCGCGGCGGGGTGCCGGGGGACCGTGGGTCTGGGGCCGCCCCGCGCCGGGCCGCGGGTGCCGGGGGGCCTCGGGGGGGCCCGGCTCATCGTGGTGAGGCGGGGGCTGACGCGGCTGGGCGGCCGCGGCGTGGCGGCGGCGGTGGTCTCCGCGCCGCGAGGGGGGGCGGTGGGCTTGGAGAGGAAGAAGGGGTCCTGCCCCACGCCCTTGGCGTCCATCAGCTCGGTGGGGACGTACTCCTTGACGGAGCCCACCACGATCCACTTGAGCAGCATGAGGCTGAGCCCCAGGCCGATGAAGCCTATGAAGAGGGGCACCACGCACAACCACGTCTGCTGCCGGTTCCAGACGATGCAGTCGCTGCAGCGCAGCTCTCGCGGCGGCCCCCCGGCCCCATCCCCGCCCGGGCCCCCCGCCGCCGCCGCCTCCGCCGCCCCGGGCGCCGCGGCGCCGGCAGACCCCTCGCTCATCCTAGGGGCCGTCCGCAGCGCCGCCGCGGCCCCGGGGCATCAACGCGCCGCGGATGCCGGCGGCATGCGGCGGAGGTGGGCGGAGGGGAGCGGAGCGGCGCGGCGCGGGGCGGAGAGGAGCGCGGCGCTCGGTCACGCCGCCGGCATGGCGAGGCGAGGCGAGGCGACCCCCGCGCCGCCCCGCGCACCTCCCGCGGCCGCGGAGTCAGCGGGACGGCCGCGCCGGGCGCCCTCCTCTTGCGCCGCCCGCGTCAGCCTCGGCGCTCTCCTTCTTCTCCCTTCGCTTCCAGGCTTTGCTCTCCTTTATCCTTTTTTTTTCTTCCTTTTTTTTTTTTTTTCCTCCGTGCAATAAGTCGCGGCGATCAGCCTCCTCGATTATCACGATTTTTTATCCCAAGCGCGCGGATCCGGCTGCGGGCGGGCACATTCCTTCACATCCACGCTCCTTCTCGCTTCTCCTCCTTCTCCTCGCCCCTCGGGGCCGGGGGATCTTCTCTCGCCTTCTCGCTCCCTCCCCCGCCCGCTCGGCTCCCGCCTCTGCCCGGCCGCGGCGCAGCGGCAGCCCCCGGCTGCTCGGCGGGGAGGCGGCGGCGCGGCGCCCGCCACTCCGCGGCCCCGCGGCCAACCCGCGGCCGGCGCTGGGCCAGGGAGGCCGATCCGCGGGCGGGGCCCGGGGCAGGAGGTTCGGCTCGGCTCGGCAAGGCTCCTCGCGGCTTCTCCGCGCCCGCGCTCAAGTCCGGCCCGCAGTAAAACTCCGGTGAGGATGCCCGGGGAAAAAATAATAATAAAAAAAATAATAAAAAAAAATCCACGCAGCCAAATAAATAAATAAAAAATGAACCCTTGAAGCGGCGGACGCCAGTGACCCAGTCGGCAAAAGCACGGATCCGGCCAACAGATAGGCACGCACACAGCAGCCCCTGCCAAGCTTGCAGCTCCTGCTCAATTGTGCATTCCTCTCGCGGCGCAGGGGAGGCAGGCGAGCGCTCAGCAAGTAAGGCGCCTCCCACCAGAGCCTAATGGTGGTTTCTTAATGCGCACAAGATAAATAAATGATCCGGGCAAAGGCCTCGGGAGGGTGGATGCTACGGCTAGCAGAGCCTGGGAAGGGGATGAAGAGAAAGGAAGAGAAAAAGAGAAAAGAAAAAGAGGGTAACTGCGGAGCGCCTGAACCCATCCGGCGGCGGTGCGGCAGTAACCCACTGCGCTGTGCCGCACGGCAAAGAGACGCGTGGAGGGAGGGAGGTGGAGACACCTTCAGAGAGGATTCCTCGCCAACGACCGGGGCTCAGGACGAGATGTTTTCTGACGCTGATGCTCTCTGATGGCTAACAATGAGCAACGTTTGTTGTTTGTGAAAGGGATTCCCTCCAGGAAAGCACAGACCGGCAGCAGCCACCTGCAACAAAAGGACAGCCCTCTTCGGCAGCCGGGGCGAGGGATGGCACGGGCACACGGCTACCAGGATGCTCCCAGACAAGTGCGGGTGCTCAGGCTGCCCCAACTCCTTCATCTACTTCAGACGGTTACGTTCATTGTGACCTACAGTGCGTGCTTCCCTCTCACCTTCTGGATAGACCATTTAAACACTTGGGGTGGTCACTGAAGGGTTAACGGCGCGGTACCAAAGGGTGAGCTTCATGCCGTTTGCCAAATTTTAGAAAATGGTTTGTAACACCATATGTGTGCAAATGCTTTTAACCCTTTCTTCTAAACTATCAAACCACTGGCGTCATTTCCTGGTAATGACACTGTGGTATAATTTCCTTAGTCACTTATGTAGAAATGTATTAATATTTATACAGAATAATTGAACAGGAAGAAAATGGAAACAAAATGCAAAATGCATTTATTTTTTTTTTCCTGTCTATACACAAACACAGAAAATAAGATGCTGTTTACAAAGGTGGATAGTGATAGGACAAGTAGGAATGGTCTTAAACTGAGTCAGGGGAGATTTAGGTTGGATATTAGGAGGAAGTTTTTCACCCAAAGGGTGGTGAGGCACTGGAACAGGTTGTCCAAGGAGGCTGTGGATGCCCCATCCCTGGAGGCATTCAGGCTGGATGTGGCTCTGGGCAGCCTGGTCTGCTGGTTGGCGACCTGCACATAGCAGGGGAGTTGAAACTAGGCGATCCCTGAGGTCTTTTTCAACACAGGGATTCTATGATTCTATGAAGATACTGTATCCACTTGATTTTTTTTTTGTTCGGAAGGAAGCAAGTATGATATAGTACAAGAAGTACATAAAGAAGACATCTAGATTATTGTCACCTGAAGTAATCCAACTGCAGCTTGGCAGCTTCTCTAAGACATCCCTATGCTAAAAGCTACTAGGAAATCTCCAGAAGCAGCTGATCAGCTAAGATCCTTCTGACCTTTTCTTGCTTTAAAACAACTAAACAACAACACTTTGGCACTGGAGTGAATAAATATACAGATTTCTATCCATTGATGAAGAGGAAAACGATTGAAGGCATTTAGAGACAACCACAAGAGCACTGCACAGTACTCAATTGGACACCTACTAAAGCAAGAAGATGAGCAAGACAGGGATGTCTTGGATACCCACAGAGGCTTTGTCGCTGATTTTTTAGGACCTGAGATTTCTTATGAACATGTACAACTAGGTGCTGACAGTTGTGAGGGTCAGTCCTGCACAGTCATAGAACGGCCTGGGTTGAAATGGACTACAGTGATCACGGAGTTTCAGCCCCCTGCTATGTGCAAAGTCACCAATCCTCACCTTCCTCACCAAGTGGACTGCTGTCCTGCTCTGGGCATTGCACTTCCTGCACGAACACCCTCTTGCCTCTTCTGCAACCATATTGCTGTTTGTTACATTCTCTATGAACAGTTCTTTGTATTCATTCTCATGCATCTCGGGAGAACATAACACGTGAAAAGTATTTTACAACCCTCACAAGACAGACAGCTTTTAAGTCCCTTTAAACTCAGATGACCAAGTTCTGAAGCCTTTCAGTTCTGTTCCGTCTCAACTGCACTTCTTCCCTCGCTAAGATTTTCAAGCTGTCAACTCCTTTAATTTGTAATGGCTCTAACAGAAAGGCATCTTAATGATACCATTAAGACGACTCAAATGCAGCTATTTCATTCTTTAATATTGAAAGACTTCCTGTATTATGAGCAAAGATTTGTCAGCTTTTCTTACCATATTTCCTATCCATACCATTGGGATTGACAAACTATTCTTCAAATTGGTTGGGGAACGCTTTCAGTATGCCACAGTTAACCGAGTTACTTAAAAGCAGATATTCTCTGGATAAATTAATGAAGACTTTTCCATTGACTACTGTCATCTTTCAAGAAAGATAGTTCTTTCATCAAAAAATATGAAATGCCTGTGGACCTTGACACAACGAAACCCCGCAGAAAAGAAAAACATATTTCAAATAGGGTAGGTTTTAGTTAAAATAAATTAATTACTTAAAAGGAGAAAAGGTCTTTTACATGCACAAGTGTTACAGAGCTACATGATGCACCTCGACAGATACCCGAGTGCACGTGATGTATGGAATTCTGGTCCTGTAATTATTCAGCTGTTAGTTAAGTTATTACGATGTATACAAAAACAGAGACTCTAAATTATTCTAGATTACTTTTCTGTCCTCAGGAATTAATATTCAAATCATAATCAGTTTTTCAAATCAGCCCACTCTCGTTAACTGAATCTGCTCAGTGCATTAATTCTAATTTACGTAGGTATTTTGTAAATTTCACTTGCATTTCTTCCTACTCACTCTGTATCATAGCCCAACTTTTTTACTTTTTCTGGAAATACATCTATCATGAACAGAAAACAAGATATAATGTATTTTTCTTCCTAGAATGCTAATATATCCTTAGTATCTCCCCAGTGGCGTTGGTGGCTGGGATGGAATGGAACAGTTTATCCTCGATGAAGTCAGAAGCGATATATTCTTACGGACTGATGTGACACAAACAATGGATGTGCTGAAATGCATATACTGCTTTGTCACACAGGATTTAAATTTGGTTTTGCAAATTTAAGGCATGCCACAGTCAGCAGTGATGTGACAAGGATTCTGTTCCTCGTGGCTTTACATATGCCTCCGTGCAGCAGAACCAGTGACATCCTCTTTAAATAGCAAAATGTAATAAACAAGTTCAAGGAGTTAGGTTTGCTTTAGCTCTTATTGTGGAAGCAGTCCTGAAGATCTCAGAATAACTATCCTCAGAAGAGCCAACAAAAGAAATAGAATTTCAAAACAGGAAAATAAGACCATTTTGGAACCATATCCATGTCAGCACTCAACAGCATGCATTTGAAATGCGTAAGTTCATATTCCACATGCACACGCAGAAGCCTGTTTTTCTTCTCCAACTTTATAAAATATGAGGGCATTCATTGTTAATCCATATAAATTTTATCTCAAGCTGTGAACAACACAAACTCAACAGTTACTTCACCCTACGGTGTGATTGGTGCATAAACATTTCCTCAAATTCTATACGTGGGGAGGAATAACTGCACACATCAGTACAAGTTAAGGGCTGACCTGCTGGAAAGGAGCTCTGTGGAGAAGGACCTGGGTGTCCTGGTGGACAATAAGTCGTTCATGAGCCAGCAGTGTGCCCTTGTGGCCAAGAAGACCAATGGTATCCTGAGGTGTATTAAATAGAACGTGGCCAGAAGATCAAAGGAGGTGATCCTCCCCCTCTGCCCTGCCCTGATAAGGCCACATCTGGAGTACTGCATCCAGTTCTGGGCTCCCTAGTTCAATAAAGAGGACAAAGAACTTCTGGAGAGAATCCAGCAGAGGGCCACAAGGATGATTGAGGCCCTGGAGCATCTCCTGTGTGAGGAAAGGCTGAGTGACCTAGGGCTGTTTAGCCTGAAGTAGAGAAGGCTGAGAGGGCATCTTATCACTGCTTATAAATATATAATGGGCAAAAGTCAAGTGGATGGGGCCAGGCTCTTCTCAGTGGTGCCCAGCGACAGGACAAGGGGCAACAAA